ATGGGTGGCTCAGTCGGTTGAGCGTCTGACTCTTGATATCAGCTCAGGTCATGATCTCATGGTTCCTAAGATCAAGCCCTGCATTGGGCTCCACCTTAACAGTGCAGATCCTGCTTTGGATTCTCTCTCTCCTCTCTCTTTCTGCCCCTCCCCTGCTCACGTGTTTTCTCTCTCTCTCAAAATAAAAAATAAATTAAAAAAAAAGAATTAGCAGGCACTTACTAGAGAAATTCAGTACTGTTCTTCATAAAGGGAATGACATTGGCATTTTACACTTTAACCAGTAAAAACACTTGTGGAATGAATCAAGATTGATCTATCAATCTATAGATCAGTCTATCAATTGATCTATCTAGAAACAATCATATTATACAACAATATTCCTTAAAAAATAAACACATTCTTCTCAACACCAAAGTATGAGACTCTTGATTGTTTCCTACATGTTTGTCTAAGTTGTCAGCATAGAGCCCAATGCGGGGCTCAAACTCACAAACTATGAGAACATGGCCGGAGCCAAAGTGAGACGCTCGACCAATTGAGCCACCCAGGCACCCCTATCTGGTTCTTAAGTTACATAAACCTTCCCCTCACCTCTGTGGTTCAGGACTTTATACCCCAGTTGGGACTGAAGTTCAAATCAGCTCTTCTTGCAACTTGTTACATCTTCTGACTTCAGTACAATCCATCTTCTTTTCTTTCTGCAGTTAATAAACTGGTATTTAACACCTAAAGATGATTTCTTAGACGTTGTTGCTGGTATCACTTTAATACTTTACAATTCTGACTATGGCCTTGCTTCACCAATTTATACTCCTTTGCTTTTTTAAACATCCACCATAAATTAATTTGCCTATTTTGCTTCATTCTTTTTTCTCCTTAAGTGGACAGTGAATTAAAGGATAGTGTCTCTTACTACCTCAACATAAAACTAAACCCCAAAGGAGAAGAGGACTTAAAAGCTAGGATTTCAGATCTTTAGGGATCTCTACTCACCAAGAGATCACATTCATTTTAAGCACATGTTGGACCCAAAGGGTGAAAATCACCAAGGTGCACACTAGAAAAATTTCAGTGGATCTTCTGTGGCTCAGTAATGACCAGGTAGAGTGAACTCCTAGGTATCCAAAAGGCAGAATATTGCAGAAATCTGGTTCAGATGTTTCCTAAATACTAGGTTTTGCCAGTGGAGGCAAGGAATTAAAACCAAGCAAAAGACTGGTACTGCAGGGCTGCTAATTAAAACAATTCAGAGGACATAAATGCTAGAGTAATTTTGAACTCACCATATCAGGCTGGTTTCAATGCAAATATACTGTTCCGATTTCTCCCTTCATTGGGAGGATATAATTAGCTCAGCTGCAACAGGGTGGAAGCCTTGAGACAGCCATTTCCTGGGGCAGCCAGCTCCCTCATGATGGAAGAACAGCTGTCACATGTCTCTCCTGCCACGGACTGCATGGAGCTGTGGCTATCCTACAAGGCTGCTCACAAGCCACCACAAGAAGGCTCAGGTTGCCAGGGGGATTGGCTCTTGCTTAAAGATAAGGGATATGTGGCTCTTCAACTTAGTTGACTCTAGCACTAATCACCATTCTTCCAGAGAAGATAGCCATGGCTGACACAAAAATCCTTCCCCATTGTTGTGGAGGAAGAGATGACAGCCCACACCAGGTACAGCAGTTCCTCAACTTGGAGTCTGATGCAGGTTTTGGAAGAAGATAGGAAGTAAATAATGAAGAGGAACACACTTCAGGTGCTGGCCCAGGAGAAACCCAAGCTCTAAAAAAAGCACATTCCCCAGCTACAGTGACAGAGACGATGAAAAGGCATCATGTTGGAAAGAGAATGAATGCAAGGCTTAGGAATGATCCAACTGGTGGAAATCAAGAGGGCTCTGAGAAACAGCTATTGCGAGATGGCTCTGGAGCTCACGTGCAGAAACAGAAGCAGCTTCTGCTTGCTTTGACAACCTTGAGAGAACAAACCCCACTGATTTGCTTTTGACATTTTAGTAAGCAAAAATATTCTACAAATGAGCCCCAGAATCATAAATACTTTCATGGAAACAAAAGGTGAACAAGCATTTGTTTTCCTAGGCTACTATCAAAATTGTCAGGTCTTATATCTATCGTCCACTTTCCTACCCCCTCCTACCCATTCTCACCTATAGCAAAGGCCAGTGTAAGTCTGGCTCTTCTTTCTCATCCTTTGTGGGAAGGACGAATAGCTAAGTGGACATGTAGATCCTGCAGTCACTACTGAGTACTGATCATGGTGGGAGGGGTTGAAGAGGAAGCCATCAGCCTACTTTGAGAATCAGCCTACTTTGGGAGTGGGATTCATGGAGATGTGGTCATAATTTTACTAGTATTTTCCTTTTCAGACTTTTTTTAAAAAAGAGATAAGATATAATTTATATACCATACTATTTACCTTACTAAAGTACACAATTCAATATGTTTATAAAGCTACTAAATAACCACCACCACTATACACTTCTAGAACATTTTCATCACCGCAAAAAGAAATTCCACATCTAGAGGAAGTCATTCCTCACTTTCTATTCTCTCAGCCATTGGAAACCACTGATCTACTTTATGTCTCTTTGGATTTGCCTCTTCTGGACATTTCCTATATATGGAGTCACATATGTGACCTTTTGAGTCTGGCTTCCTTCATTTACTATAATGGTTGCATTAAGGTTCATCTGTGTTATAGCTTGAATTAGTACTTCATTCCTTCTTCTTGGCCAATAATACACCATTGTATGGATCACCACATCCCATTTAGCCATTTGTCAGTTGATGGGCACTTAAGTTGTCCCCACTTTTTACCTATTATAAATAATTAATTCTGCTATGAACCTTTATGTACACGTTTTTGTGTGAACATAAGATTTCAATTCCCTTAGTGCATACCTAGGAGTGGAATGATGAGCCTGTGTTGAACATTTTGAGACACTGCCAAACCATTTGCCCAGGCAGCTGCACCACTTTATATCCCTACCAGCAGTATGAGGACTCTGATTTCTGCACATTCCTGTTGACACTTGTTATTGTCTGTCTTTATTACAGCCATCCCAGTGAGTGTGAGTGGTATCTCACTGGGGCTCTGATTTATATTCCCCCATGACTGATGATATTGAACATAGTTTCATGTACTTATCAGCCATTTGTATATCTCCTTTGGAGACCCCTCTACTTAAATATTTTGCCAATTTTTTAATTGGGGGCTTCATATCCTTACTATTAAGCATTTCTGTATTCTTCCTCTGATTTATCTTTTTAGAGGTTGTAGAAGAGGACACTGGTCTCCACCTGGCTCAGTCCTGGCTCAGACACTGGACTCTACCTGGCTCAGAATCCATGATTTTACCCATTTGGATCATGATAAAGTTGAAAGACATTTATTGAGTACTTACTTTGTGCCAAGCATTCTAAGAACTTTATTGATTTATTGCTAGTGAGAAAGCTGTTGCTTGGGCCACATGCTTCTCCCTGCGGCACTCATCAGATCAGCAAAAGCTTTTCTCTAGGGAAGCAGTCATGTGGGTCTTCATCTCTTGAGACCAAGAGACATCCTCCACCCCTACCTCCCACAAAAGAAGCAAAGCTAACAGTGGAGATGCATCCGTTGACAGGTAAAATCTCCTGGCATATTTTAGATACCGGGAACAGACTGGTCATCGCTAGACTCAGAACAGGTGCTTTGAAGCTCCATTTTGAGCATTTGAGGTTAAGACCATACTCACATTTCCTACAAATACACCCAAGAGAATCCTTTTCAATTTGGTTTCCACTGTGGGCAGTGCTTCCCAAGGTGACCAAAGGAAGAAACCCCACAAAACAGTCTACAGAAGAATATGCAAGAAAGCAATGGAATTATTTTCTTAAATTACTTGTAGTGATGTTGGCTTAGCTAAATGAGAGACATGAGATGTGAGTAAGGCCACAGAGAGGGGCATAGGAAACAAAAAGAATGGTCTCCTCAAAAATAAATCATGAATGGATGAACAAAGGCAAGGAGAGGCATTCTCTCTACCAGTCCTACTTTATTATGAAAGCTAGTCGAGTTCTATGTTTTACCTTCTTAGGCTATGTACACACACCACATTTACTCCTCTTCCTTTCTATTCTCTTTCTCTGTCCTTGAAAATCAGGCAAAACCAACAGAAAAGCAAATTGAGGGTTCGAGGTGGTAGAACACCACTTTCAATATCATGACCTCAAGATTTCCAGAAATGGCCTTTTTCTCTCCTACTGAGATCCAAATCCACCTTGCCAAGGGGACGGATTCCACGTAATCAGAGGATGTGAGTTGTTGTCTGTAACTCTAGCACTTGGTGCATCTAGAGTTGGAAACCAGCCAGGGTTGGGACTATTTAGTAGGAGGCAGAACAGAACCTCTTCCATCTCCCCAAAAAGGCCACCAGAGAATCCACTTTCCACCAAAATGGCTCGGAGTAGGAATGTCCAAGGTCTATCCTGCTCTGATTTATGTGAACAAGTTCATCTTTGGCCATATCTCAAAAAGAGCCTCCAGGAGTAATTTCACAGAATCAAATACAAACCTCAAGACCCTTTAACCTCATGCCAACCAAGAATCCCCCCACGCCCTTGTCTTCCCTGGCAGAACCATTCATGGTGAGGGCTTTTCTCTTAGAAATATCACACACCACTCTGGGCAGCCATGAACCTACAGGATGGATTTTATGGGTTGAATTGTGTTCCCTCCAAATTTGAACTCCCAGTGCCTCTGAATATGGCTGTATTTGGAGATAGGGTCTTTGAAGAGGTGATTAAGTGAACATGCGGCTGTGGGCAGGGCCTTCATCTAATCTGAATGGTGTCCTTATAAGATGAGGAAATTTAGACACAGAGAGAGACACCAGGGATACACACAGCAAAAAGACCATATGAGGACACAGAGAAAGGCACTGTCTGTAAGCCAAAGGTGAAAGAACCCCTGTCTTCACCTTGATCTTGGACTTTGAGGCTTCAGAGAAGATAAACATCTGTTGTTGAAGCCCCTTGTCTCTGGTAATGTGTCACAGCAGCCCCAGCAAATGGATACAAGGGCCTCCCAGGGAAAGAGGACCCTGGGGGGTCTTGGCAAGCGTGGCCACTCACCCTGTAGTAGTCAGTGCTGTACACATCCCGGGACATCCCGAAGTCCCCGATTTTCACCAGGAGGTTCTCACCGACCAGGCAGTTCCGGGTGGCCAGATCTCGGTGCACAAAGTGCTGGGACGCCAGGTAGACCATGCCCGCGGCTATCTGCTGGGCGATGTGCAGCATCTGGGACTGCGTCAGCTCTGTCGGTGGGTTGCCTTCGGCCATCAGCACGGCGTCAGGCCCGTGGGCCCTGCGGAGGACACGGAAGGCATTGCTGGAACCGCAGCTCTTTCCTCCAGGGTCCCTTTGCTACCATCAGCTGCTGGGGCTCTGGGATGCCTGACTTAGCTAAGGAGCAGGGGAAGATGCTTCACCCACAGGCGCACCCCGAAAGCCTTGAGAGCATTAAGGCTTCATTTTTCAGAGAATATAGACTTCTTGGGGCCATGTGAACCTGAATGGTACCCTCCTCAACACACACACAGCTATACGTTTTAGGGACTCCAGAGCTGGGCTGGGGCCAGGCACTGGCTAGAGCCCCTGACCCAGAGAAGCTGGGGAGCAAAAAAAATGAATAAAAATAAAAATAAACCAAAACCAAAGCATAAGGGGAGAGTTTGCCTCTCCTGGAGCGACAGATCATCGGGCCTCAGTGGGAACCCCAGCCCTCCCCTCCCAGCTATATGCTGCAGCCAAGTACTCCCCAACCCAGGCCAATCCCTCCAGAGTGAGTCACCATGGCCAGAGCTCTGCAGCGAGGGGGAGGGGGGGCACGGTTTCCAAGCTGCCCTCGCCTCCCTCAAGTGCAACTGAGCACAGTGCCAGGGCACCTTCAGACATCATTCCCCGTGCAAAATCCCATCTCATTCTGCCCACCCCTACCCCCACCCCCAGCTCAGCATGTGCACTGGCCATCACATGGAGAGCTTTTTTGAATCACAACACATTGATTCATTTACTGGGCTGAGTTTTATCCTTTACAGGATGGTGAGGGTATGTGGGGGGTGGAGGATTGTATTTTATATCTTCTTTTTCTTAGCTGTTTTGGGGTTTTTTGTTTGTTTGTTTGTTTGTTTGTTTTAGTTTATGTACTTATTTTGAGAGAGAGAGTGCAAGTGGGGAAGGGGCAGAGAGAGAATCCCAAGCAGGCTCCATGCTGTCAGTGCAGAGCCTGATGCAGGGCTCCATCACTCGAACGCAGAAATCAAGAGTCAAATGCTCAACTGCCTTAGCCACCCAGGAGCCCCATATCTTCTTTTTGTTCTGTCTTATACATGGTCTTTTCCCAGCTGTGTGACAACTTAAGGCATCTAAACACTGGCATGTGATTCAGAGAGGGCAGTCCCTACTCCAGAATCCTGCCAAGACCAGTGTTGCTGCCCCTGATGGCCTGAGGGGCTCTGTAGGGCAAAGAGTAAAGGGTTCCTTTCTTCTAGAAGCTTCTGTGGAGGGGTTTCTCCTTTCCAGAGAAAAATAAGGGAGAAGATTTCCTTCAGGACAATTAGAAGCACTCAAAATAAATATAGAAGATTTTAAACAGATTTTAAAGTGGATAACCCAACCTGCAGAGTTCCAGAACCGTATGAGAATTTGCAAATGAAAGTGTCAGAATGATTCCAGAACTCTGCTCCCTCTGTCTCTCCATCCTGCCCAGCCTGCCTTGGTCAGATAGTCTCAAACTGTGGATGGCTGTCCCTCCTTCCTGACTCCAGCCCGTAGTGACTCCCTTTTTCTGGACTCCCAAATCTCTCACTCTTGTATTCTCTTAGAACAAGCACTAGAGGGGGGACTGGGTGGCTCAGTCAGCTAAGCATCCAACTTTGGCTCAGGTCATGATCTCACAGTTCGTGGGTTCGAGCCCTACATCGGGCTCTGTGCTGGAAACCTAGAGCCTGCCTCGGATTCTGTGTCTCCCTCTCTTTCTGCACCTCCCCTGCTCAAGCACTGTCTGTCTCTCCTTTTCTCAAAAATAAACATTAAAAATTTTTTAAAAAACAGAAAAACAAGCAAGCACCATACAAGGAGGAAGGGAGTTTTCCAGCACCAAGATCTAGGGAAGCCTTTGAATTTGTCCAGTCCATAATTTCCCCATCAGTCAAAAATACAAACAGATATTAGGCTGGGTGATCCTGTAGGTCCGTTGTATCTCTAAATATCTGGGTTGAACTATTCTCAGGGAGGAGCTTCCTGTTTTTGTGCAAGGACATTCTGGTGCATGTAACCTCCACTCAGACCCAGCCTCTAGTGCCCCCTGTTGCACTGAGGAGCAGTGTGGGGAAATGCACTGGGGCTCTCTTCAGCTCAAAACCTCTGGGCAAGCTCAAGGTATCCAAATTGAATTTGAATCCCATCCTAGAACACTAGCTGTGACCTCAGGTGACCTGCAGAACTGTTCTGGACCATCTCTGCATTCTGTAAAGAGGGGGTACCCACCGCACCCTCCTAAGCTCACTAACATGGGCAGTAACTGAGAGCTTGCTTGGGCTTTCATGAAAAGCCAACACTAAAGATTGCTCCAACGTCATTCTTCCCAGCACCCAAGGGGGCCGGGGAAAGAGGGGAAAGTGAGAATGTTTTCTCTTATTGCAGGAGACAAAGCCCTGATTGTGATTTAATACCAGCAGGGAGACCTAGAAGAACACATAAAGTATGAGAAATCCTGAAATATCCAGAGAATCTAGGCCAGGCTGGAATCCCCTTCATGGATTTAAATCAAAGAGTGAAATAATGTTGCCAATTTGCCAGAGCCTTCTTTTAGCCCTAGGAGTCTATACCCCTCTAAGAATCCAGCCATTGCGAAGTCTCTGGAAAAGACAGTTACCAGTGCCGTAGGCCACCTGTGCACAGAGCCCCAGGCTCCAGCCTTACCTGTTGAAGGCCCCAAAAAACCCCGACTCCCCAGTGCCTTTGGCACTCTCTGCTACCATGTGCAGGCTCCAGTATGCTAAACCAGTGGTTTCCCTACTTGCTTGTGGGTGTTTAGCAGGGCTCCTTGTAATGGGAGAAGTCTCTGCATGCTTTCTTAGAGTAGAAAGTCCTGCTGTAAGAGGGCAGGCGAGTCTTCTCACCAAGGTTTCAAGAGGAGCATAAATCAAGTTCACATAGCAGACCTCTGCTTTACTCCCCAGACTACCTTGAAGCTCTTGGAAACCAAAACATATTGACCTCTTCCAGGAGAACATGCCTTAAAGGGGGAAGAGCACTAATCATACCCTGCTCAAGGAGCGGGAAGGCTCGGCAGGCTTCTAACAGGGGAGGCTGTTCACATTTCCTCTGCTTATTCTCTCCAAGTGCAGGTTATAGCAGGCACTTAGCCTTGCTGTCTGGCTCCAGAATACCACAGCACTCTACCTTCCTCCTGAGTTTTATAAATAGCTCCCCCAAGAGGAAATATTGTAGTGCTCTGTGGGCTTTGCAGCCAGGGTCTGCGGGTTTGAATCTCAGTTCTGTCACTCACTAGCATCATGACTCAGTGTTTTTAACTGTAAAATGGGAGTCATGGTAATCACAGTTTAGTAAGTGCATACAATTAAACCACTTACAATGCTTAGAAGGCTCAATAATATTAGCTGTTATTGCTTGGGAAAGCCTCATCTATCTTTCTTGTGTTGGAAGGGAATTCTGGAGAGATTCCAGTAAGCAAAACTGTCATCTCTTTGCCAGCAAGAACTATGTTTTACCCCTCATTTCCTGGCCACCCTAGCTGAGGACTTGGCCATGTCAGTACTCAATGTATGACTTTGGGATGAATAAAAAGAGCTAGAGAAATTGTAGACATCTATCTTTATGGGGCAGTGCCAATGACGCTTGGGGACATGTTCATGGCACTTAAGGGGCTAGGCTCCCTTCCAGAAAGGGAGGACAGATTATAGTTCAGAGCACATTATTATGCCTGAGAACCTGATTCTTGGCATTTAAAACCTTTTGAACCCAGAGTTCAGCAGATTCTGAAATCAAGCAGAAGAGATTTCTAATAGCGCCATGCTTGTGCAAGATGCAGAGGGAGAATCAGGTGCCTGTTCCTTCTGGAAGCAGGAAGGAGAGCTAAGGAGAGGCTGGCAGAGCCAAAGGCAAAAGGATCACACACACACACACACACACACACACACACACACACACACCCCTGGTTACATACACAGGCACCCATGTACGTGCATACACAGTGTGAGTTAACAGCTGTATTTCAGTGCATATAGGTAAATGTCTGACTGTATTCTGCTACAGTTTTTGGAAAGTACCATCTTTAAATACATAAGTAGCCTAGAGCATGGGAACAAGGGAAAAATACTTCTAGGAGCAGCTAATTTTCCTCCACATTAGATCTGAAAGACAAAAGCTACCATCATCATCTCCTATCACCTACAAGAAAAACCTTGCAGGCACTGAGCAGTGCATCAGGATGATGGCCTCTGAGCACTGAGAGTCGGCTACACATCCCTAATCTCACTGACTTTCTGTTCCTCACACATCATAAGCAAGGCAGAGAATGGGGACCCATCCCAGCAAGAGACCTAAAATGCACATGTATTCATGAGGCTAGAGATGGCAAAAGTGATCCAGAAGGTACAAACCACATGATGGCATTTCTAAGCACAGCAGTACACTGCCCCCTCCACTATTCTCACCATGATGGACTTATTATGTAAACAGCACGGTTTCTGAATTTTCCAGGGGCTCCATCAAGTGACTACCTGGTGCCCATTTCTGTGGAAAGCCCTTTCCAATGCCTGCAGATGCTGGAGAAGGACAGAGAGGTCTAGGTCACTGTAACACAAGAGATATAACATCTGCATTGCAGATCCTTCAACCATATGGCAGAGAGGAAGGACAATGGGGACAACATCTACTGATTATCTACCATCACAATAGTCTCCATGCTAGTCCTTGATGTGGACCTTATTATACCCTTTTCACTGAGGCCAACATCTTCCTCATTTGTCCTAAATTCTACTACCCACTGAGATCATGGGCAGTACACTTGCTGATCTTTCAAAGCTGAGGGGCAGCTACATTGGAAAGAAAACAGCATCTTAGAGCCAGAGATGATGCAGGGGAATCTAACTCAGGTCCAGGTGGGCTGGAGACCCACCCAAGCAACACAGCCGCTGATGCAGACTAGGAAGGAGAACCCAATCTCCCCAGCCCACACTACTGGGAATCTTACTCTTTCCATTCATGCTCTTAAATGAGTGGGTTGCATTTGCTCCCCTGCTCAATGCAAATCAAAGCATCAGTTGGGTTCCTTCACCAAAGAGTATGTGGATCAGCTCATTTCTTCTGTCCCTTGGTCGATGCAGGATGAAAACACTGACCAGGAGCCCTAGCAGGGTGACCACCAACTTCCTCTCTCTCACCCAACATAGCCCTCCCAGTGACTCCCCTTACGGAGGCAGCTGGTTTACCAGGAGATATCATCACCAGTGGAATTCAAGCTTCTGCTTGTTTAAAACTTCCTATTTGTTTCTACATTAGGAGTTTTCTGTACTTATCCTAACTCAGTCTTCATATCTGCCCCACAAGCTCCATGTCACTACCTGAACAGCTGAGACACTTGCCCAAGGTCCCATGGATAATAAATGCCAGAGCTGAGGCTTCAGATTTCTCACGATTTCAGAATATCTTCATCTTTTCCCCTGGATTATGGACACTCAACACTGTGTCTCACTTATTCTGTCTTGTGACCCCTCCCTGTCATAAGGTGGGGGACTTCCTAGGAAGCCACTGGTAAACTAAAATCCAATTAGGTTAATGCTAGAAATCCAAGTGACACAGACCCTATTTTATAACCCTGGGGCTCCCTTTTATAGTCAACATTTCCCCTTCCTTGTCTTGCCTTCTTCTAATGACCCTGTTTGCCACAAAACACCTCAAGTGAAGGCTGTCCATCTTTGGTGGGCCTCAGGGACTCAACAAGAGCTACAGCCTGTGTTTCCAGTGGCCCCATCCAATGTGTTTTGACCGTCTTCCTTCCAGAGCTTTTGCTCTCTGGATTCTGTTCTTTTCACTACATCCTCTGACCTACTGACCTTCTGGTTCTTCATTTTGTTGTCAGGATAAAAATCCAAATGCTCAGCCTTCCAGCCTTGACTCCTCCTCACTGCTTTTCCATCTGTCCATTCCTGGATGACCAAACCTCTCACAGCAACACCTTAGTCCCTTATCACGCTGTTTCCTTAGCCCTGAAGGACATTCCTCTCTTATCCTCCTGACAAACTCCTACAGGTACTCTAGGGCCCACCTCAAATGCCCATGTCACCTGCCACTTCATTAACAAAAGCTAAATGAACAAGGGTGGAACTGAGTGGAATCACTAACATCACATGCTGTAGAGTTAGTTCATTAATACAAAAACATTACTGTGGCCTCAGTTTCTTTCTCTGTGGCACTTGTCAGTGTTGACACCAGGATAGACCACTCTAGAGAAAGTTTCAAGTGACACTTGGCCCTTCCAGGCAACTCCATGTCCTCACCTTCAGGGTGTCTGAACCATGAAGGCTTGTTCCCTCCTCGAGCCACCTCCCATCCCATCCCCCAAACCTAACCTGAGGAACTTGTTGAGATCCCCGTGCTTCATGTACTCAAAGACCATGATGAGTGGATCACCCTCCACGCAGACACCATAGAACTTGACGATATGCTCGTGCTGGAGGTTGGTCAGCAGCTCCGCCTCACGGTGGAAGTCCTTGCGTGCATTGTCACTGGCGTCCTTCAGCGTCTGAGGATAAGGGGCAGACAGGGGAGAAAATCAACACACTTTAAACTAAGGACATCAAAGGGAAGGTTGTGTTGAGAAGGAATTACTTCAGTGAGCCCTGAGGTTCTCAGATGGGAAAGAAATTCATCTCATTTACTATACAAAAGATTTGAAAATGGCCTAATTCCCGAGGAAACACGGTTTGTATTAATAACTGAGGAAAAGTCCCTTATGGGTACTGAGAGCTTTACAGTTTATGAAGCACTCATACAGATGTGTTCTCATTAAGTAACAGACGTGAGCTTTGTATAGTCTTCAACCATTTTTCTCCTATTGTTACCCAGTTATTACCACAAACTTCTCTTTCATGTTGGTACCTGTTGTGTTTTCAAGGATGCTATGTCCCGCTCACTTCTGCTCACCTGACTTTAACAAAACTTCATATTATGGAAATATTCAGTAGACAGTAGAGCATACTGAACCCTCATGCACCCACCTTCCAGCTTTGATAGGGATCACCGGGCCAGTGTTATCATGTAACCCTTTAGAAAGCCTTCTCTGCCCATGCCCACGCATGCTGCCTGCCCAGGAAAAGCCCCTGTCTGGGGAGGTCCAAGCAGGCTGGTCATGTTGCCAAGATGAAGACGCCCAGGATCATGGCAACCAGGTTCCGGTGCCTTTAGTTCTCTTCTCAGACCACTCTGCCACCACAGTGTCATAGCAAGGCAAAGCTGGCATGTGTTGATGCCACACAGCTGTGTCCAACTCTTGTCCTGTGCCGGTGTCTAAGTCAGAGCTGTGGTGGCATCAGGACGACACTGACCTATATCCTGGCCTTAGGTATTTATGGGCAAGTAGGGATATAAGTCACAATTATAATTAACTATAATCAAGTTTAAAACATACATTCTAAGTGAGCTCCCCTGCATCTCTGTCCAGTTTGATCACTTGACATGCTTCTCTTGAAACCGATGCTGCCACCTTAAGAAATATCTGTAGCTGCCCAAATGACTTCAGGCTGTGACTTCCTGTCTCTGCGTGTGTCCATCCCTCCACCTGGAGTCCTAACTTGGCAAGGGCACTGGTGTCCGAGGTTGGATAATACCCACACAAAGGTGTCCATGTCCCAACCCCCAGAATCCATGAATATATTACTTTACATGGCAAGAGCAGCTTTGCAAATGTGATTAAATCAAATATCTTTTTGTTTTTTAATGTTTATTTATTTATTTTGAGAGGGGAAAAGGTGCAGAGAGAGTAGAATCCCAAGCAGGCTCTGCGCTGTCAACGCAGAGCCTGATGCAAGGCTCAATCTCATGACCAACCAGCCAAGAGTTGGATGCTTAACCAACTGAGCCCCCCAGGGGCCCCTAAGTTAAGGATCTTGATGTAGAGGGATTATTCAAGTAGGCTCAATGTCATTCCAAACAAGGGTTCTTGGGTGAGAAGGGTGGGAGGGTCAGGAGAGAGAAGATGTAAGGGTAGAAGCAGAGGTCAGACAAGACAGAAGGTACTACACAGCTGGCTTTGAGGGTAGAATAGGCCACAGATGAAGGAATGCAAGTGGTCTCTAAAACTTGGAAAAGGCCGGGAGATATTTTCTACCCTGGAGCCTCTAGAAAGAGCCAGTGCTGCTGACATCTTCCCTTTAGCTTTTGCAAAACTGATTTTTGGACATCTGACCATCAGAACAATGAGAGAAATCATTTGTGTTGTTTTAGCCACTCCCTTTATAGTAATTTGTGACAGCAGCCACAATTAAGGGACAGGGAGAAAGGATGGCCAGAGGACTCCTCCTGGTAGAGGGGGCATGTGAGTATGTGAATCCCTTTTCCAGAGACTTCCATCAGTCTTTCTCAGTGTCAGAGGGCAAATGTGCACACGCAAAGTCACTCAGGAACATCATGAAAGCACTGTCACCTGTCAGATGCATACAGAGTGCAAGCCTATACACTGTGTCAGGATCAAAGAGCACTGCCAGGCCCCTGGTGGTCATGTTGCATGGTACAGCTCATTGCTGCCTTGACTCTGCTCTCCTGGGTGGGAGACACACTTGAACTGAGCACCTTCTAGACCTCGGAATGTGCCACAAGTTAAGCTCCTGAGGAAAAGACTCTGGGATAGAAGTTAGCAGCCAAGACATTGAGTGGGGCATGTTCTTGGGATTAGCCCCTGCTGGGAGGCACAGGGCCCCAGGGGAGTGGAGCTATGATGCAGTCTCCACAGGCCTCCACATGACCTATGGGATAACCCTTCAGAGATGCCCTGAGTTCAGCCAAAGGGGCTGGGTCTTTGTAGCTTCATATCAGTTGGCCATTAGATGGAAGCCACTGGGAAGGGAGTATGATCTTGAGTGGACTTCCTGAGACCCCACCAGCTGCTGGTAGTTAAGAACTATCTGTTCAGACCTTCATAGCAAACAAAGGAGCAAATCCTTCATTCCCAAAGAGGGTCAGGAGGTTCATCATCAAGTCTGCCACACAGTGACATTGCAATATGTAATTTACCATGCCCAGGGCTGCTCTCCACCAGGAAGGCACCAGTGAATATGCAGGGCCTGCTTCACATCAGTGACAAGGGAACATTAAGATGACAGAGGCAGCAGCAAGATTGCAAGGTTTTTTCTGCTACAATCTGTATAGGATCTAGTGTTTTCCTGAACTGCCATTAGCAGGATTTGAAGCTTTCCTCCCACTGATGACCTGACCCAAGGAGACAGAAATTATACCTACAGTTTTCGTTAGGCTAGAGGCATTTATCTCTTTTGCCAAAGTCTGGAGGTACTGACTGAAAAAAGGGTCTGGTGGTGGGGATCCCTCATTCTCACGTTAGTGTGTGGTTTCCCAAGAAGCATCCCTTAAGAGCACCTGCTTTGAAAAGTGAGTTGATTTGTGCCAGCAAGTACTCATAGAGGCCATAAAACTTTGGTAGGGCTGTTGCCACGGAAACTGCACATTTTTTCATTTAATAACAAAATGAACAGTTGCTGAGAGCCTGCACTTTGGGCCTCTGCTTCCTTCGAAGCTCCAAAAACTGGGCTTGTCCCCATCCAAACTAAGCTCCTATCCCTGTTGTGCTGGGAGGTATAAAGTGCTTATCTTCATCAATTGTTTAGGTTGGTTTTATCTGTGGGACTGCTTTTTAGCTGTTTTTTAATCCAACCAGTGTTTTGTTCTGCTGAACTTCTAGGTAGAAAAAAGTCACAGTTAGGGCAAGAAGATGAACATGGAGGACATGGACATTGTCATTGCCTGGGAGCAAAATACACACATGGGAATGCCTCTTGCACTCAGATTTGCATTATGGTTTTGGGTACGTGTCTGTCTCCATGACTTCCATTGACAACAGAATCCAACGTTGGGCAAATAAAAGAACCCTGGGCCCATGAGGTCTGAGCAAGCTAGAGGTGAGAGAGCACTGGTAAAGACTGAAAAGTGGCTGTTCATCTGGAAAGATGGTGAGTGGGCCTGGATACATGCAGAGAAAGAAGGCAAGAGAATGTAAGGATGAGGAGGAGACTTCCCAATGCCCTCTCTCCTGGAGGGCTGGCCCCAAGCATTTGTGCTCTCTTTCCGGTCAAAAGACAGATCATCAACACACCCCTGGGTGGCTCAGTAGGTTGAGCGCCCAACTCTTGATCTTGGCTCAGGTCATGATCTCATGGTTTGTGGTGTCAGGCTTCATGACTGGCTTTGCACTGGCAGTGTGAAGCCTGAATGGGATTCTCTCTATCTCTCTCTGCCCCTCCCCTCTTTCTGTCTTTCAAAATAAAGAAACATTAAAAATAAAACCCACAAAAGACAGATCCTCACAATAGTGAGACTCAAAAAGAATGCAATCTAGCTTAGAATAAAAAAAATCTGGGTTCAAATTCTGACTCTACTCTGGATCTCTCTCTGGTATTCTCTGTGGAGTGAGGGTAACAATATCATCTATTTCTCAGGGTCACTGGGAGGACTGAGTGAGATAGTGTAAGGTAAGAGGCCTCTCAGGGTCCCTGGTAGAGAGCGATATTTGGAAACAAAACCACACTAGGCCTGTATTTGATTTGCTTGTATGAGGATGCAGGAAGGCCAAAGATGTATGGATAAGGTATAGAGATGACCCAATATGAGAAGAGCAGTGCCCCCGGGGCTGCCACCATTTCCCTCCAAAAGCCCTTTGAAGCCTGTGATGTCTTCTCAGAGATCAAGTCTCCTTACTCAGAAGCTGCCCTGTGTCACTAAGATTTCTAGGACCTTAGCCTGTCTTTAAAGGTGAACTAGTGAAGACTATTGACCCCTTTAGGCTGTTATCACAAGGCATGAACAAATTCTCCATGTAATCTCTCTTCTCAAGTTTTAGCTATGTAGTATTGATTCAGGATTGCTAGATTGTGTGTGTGTGTGTGTGTGTGAGAGAGAGAGAGACAGGGAGAGAGTCAGGTAGTGGGATAGGGGATGGCAGATGGGAGACAAGAGAGAATTTTTGTATGGGGGATACCAAACTAAAAGAGCTAATGAGTATCTCATTTCCATTTCCCCAAGGCAATACACTGTGGGAAGAGACTGTGCTCTTAGTGTAATGTCAGAAGCTGTACTTCAGTAAAATTTTTGGATTTAAGAAAGATTTCAGTATTTGTGGGGTGAGTACATCCCACAAACCTAGCTTCATCCTATATGCCCATCCATTTTTGCATGTCAGGTCCCTTTTCTAAATTATGATTCAATCCTATTTTAAGAGATTCAGAAAATATGGCAGTAACAAGTTGGGCAAAATCATCTTCTGAATTTGGCACTTGGAGGGCAGAATTTTTCTAAGGGTGGAAACATAGCCAGACAGCAATCAGAAGCTGGAAAAATCCTGCTATCAACCCTATTTATAAAAATCATCTCTGTTTTAGTACTATGGCTGATTGTCATTTTACTCAATTAAGGGAAGCTTGGCTGGTTCCCCGAGTCCTTGGCAATGGACATGAGGTGGCAGCTTCCCTCACTAACAAATCCCTCCACTTAAGTTTCATCTTGACAGGCATATTTGCC